ACTCATCATACTTCATCATCTTATGTCTAATGCTCTGTTGGATATCGTTAAAAATACTCTATTTAGTATTTCTCTTTTTTTTTCTTTTAGGAAATGTGGATAATCAACACGTGTTCAAGTCACATAGCTCTATGGTGTCGTTTTAAAAAATAGCCACTGTGTATTATATTAGTAATTTTTAACATTTCTGATAACAATGGAGGAATAATCACTATTTTTAACGATAATTGTTATAAAAATGGGGATAATCTCGCAATGACGTCACTGTAAACGTCTTTATTTCTTTATCGCCACCGTTTCCATATTTGCTTGTCACACACGTGCTATCTACGCATCATTTTGGTACCTATCCTGACGCATTTGTATAAATGGCAACTAAAAGGTAAAGTCAGTTACTGACGCAAGAGAAATTTAGAAACCTTTACCCACGTAAAGTCTGTTACTTTATAAGTCTGTAACAGTCATAGTTACCAACCGTCTCACATCGTACTGTACGGTCCCGCATTTCAAAGCGATTTTGGATGTAACACGCATTATGGAGAAACACATCATAAATTTGTTACGCATTTAGCAGAAGTCTATGCATGATAACGAATTATCACGAATTCAGTGGAATATGTATTTAAAATTAGAAGAAATATGTTTTATATACGATATAAGAACGGTCATGCAGTAACCTGAGTCATTAGAGAGCTTTTGTTATCTCATTCGAGAATCTGACCGATTCACCAGCAAACTGGTGTAGTCACGCATTTCAAACCTCTCAGGTTGGTAACTATCCTGGTCTATTTTTCTCTTTTCATATTATCACAGATCCTAAAGAAATTTAATCTATGATTATCACAGACGGGACAGAAAGGCGTCGTACTCAGTCGTACTATCCGAGGCCTATGGGCGAGGGGTGGGGGGGGGGGGGGCGGGCTTCCCCCCCCCCCCCCCACCACCATTGTACCCCTAGATACTCGACTGCCTATATCTACCAATGACTGAATGAAAAACACGTTAAACAGTTATATCAGAATCTAGCTAGAATTACCTCCACTCTTGCAATCACCTATTAAGTTAACCTGCGTTAGGTTTAGAATAAACTATGAGAGTTTATGCAACGCTTTTAAATAAATTGTTTTCACTATAAATCTTAAAGTTTTGGAAAAGGTCAACAAACTCGGTTCTTACACTTCTATTTTGTAGTGAATTCCGTCAACTAATATAAGCCTATGCCTGAATAATTTTTAAACGAATACTGAAATTATTTGCAAATAACTAAGATTTAAAAAGGCCCAGTTTCAGTCAATGCCCCCTCATTTTAAACATACATACTCTTATCTGAAAATCTCTGTTTTAATTTTTGCTACAACTTAGCTATTTTTCCACAACGCGCTCGTGTCTCCAATTAGGTACTTACGTTTATGAGAAGTGTATTCGGTAGCAAAAGCAGAAATTTATTTAGTAGAATATAAACATCGATTAATGCTTTATGTGGCTATAATAATAATAATAATAATAATAATAATAATAATAATAATACCTTGATATTATACCTCCATGGTTGAACTTGCAGTCCTCCCTGTTTTTTTTTATATAAGTATGTGTTTGATATGATCATAAATTTGTCAAATAGTTGTCAATTTTTTTTTACATTTTACATTCAATTTACAGCTAAAATGCAACACATCATCAACGATTTCCAAGATTTCTTGGACTTCTTGGCATTGTCATAGCACATAATCCACACTGCATCCCTAACCTTATCAATATCAAATAGACCTCAATAAAATCATATCAAATCAAAGTTATTGTATAATCACTTTTTTCATAAATATATGGCACATACAATTATAGAATAGAATCAAAATTAGAATGGAAAATCAATTCAACAATTAAAAACAATTTAAATACGAAATTTTCACAATCAATAATCAGATAAAATTAATTGTTTCTTCTTGTTACTGTGCTCTTTTCTATATGATTCGTTTTTCAAAATAAAATCGGAAAGTTAAAGAAAAAAATGCTGGAAGTTAGGAAACTATATGTATTTAAATTTACTCTTAAGAAAAGATGAATCAATTCAGAAGTCTGGTGATACTAGATGTAGGCCGATATCAAATAATATGTTTTATATATGTTGGATTTTATCAATCCACCATTCGTTGTGCTTTTATATATGTTTTTATCGATAACCTATGATAAGTGCTAAATCCATTAGAAAAGTCATTATTCAGGTTTATGCAACCTTAATTCATCAACATACGGATCTAGAAAAATCAATATAGATAATCATGCAAATAGAGACTGGTTGCTACGTCATAAAATAATAACAGTGTATTACTATAGGCTTACATCTTGAAGGGTGAGATCCAAACCGCCGGTGTTATCTAAAGCAATGATTACAGGTACGCAATGTTCGGTTAATAATTTACTAGGGATAGCTCTCCATTGGTCACAATCTCGTCATCCTATGCTATGGTGTCAGCATTGCTGGACAAATCAAAAAGATTATTTGAACTATTATCACGATAAATATACTATGAATCAGACAAACGCCCTTCATAATGGTACATCCTTAAATTGAGCTACGACCATAGAATAACGTTAGGGATATATTGAGTACCGCGGTGTATAGGGAAGACAATATGGCTTCCATGTTTGGAAAGAATAGCAGTTTCCTGTTGCCGATTTGTATGTCATTAATTTGTTTTAATAAGGTAAGACTTGTCATTTCAGAAGTGAGAATCCAATAGTTATATAAAAGTGTTTTGTAACATGTAACTTTACATAATGTTGAAGGTGAAGGTAAACTGAAATATATAGGCCTATATATACATACATATATATATATTAATATATATATTATATATATGTATTATATATATATGTATATATTATATGTAGGCCCTATGTATTATATATATATGTATATATATTATATCTATGTATATTTATATGTATTATATATATTATGCATTATATATGTATACATTTATGTATATATAAACAATGATAGACAGAGTGCTCGAATATATAAAAAACACATTATTCGAGCACTGTTCTATCATTTACCAATTTGTTTATAGTGTATTTATATAGGCCTATTGGCCTGTTCAATACTACGCAACAAACTATCATTTATATAACATTATATGTATATATATAAACTATTATTTATATAATATAATATGTATATATAGATGTGTATAAGAGACAGACATACATATTCTGAAGTTAAATTGTTCCATTAATATTACAACGGTAAGTGAGAAACACTTAGTACGGTATTTTTTTAAAATTTTATATTGGTCCTAATATTATTTTATTATGACTTTTAAAACTTTTTAACCATTTAAATATGTTCACACTTGATAATATCTTAAGGTAAACGTTTGTCATTTGCCATTGTTAAGTTACTGTATTTTGTGCAATTTTATTCTTTATATATTTTTAACCTTACTTTTGTGAAAGAAAGACAAAAAGTTTTTTAACATTTTCTATAATTATGCTTAAAACCTGTCTGAGGGTACCAAAATAAGCGTTCTTCTTTCAACTGGTAGACGCATGTTTTTAATAATTTAATCCATATATACTGTACTTTCAATGTGTATAGACTTTTACTATCATGAAGATGATGAGAAAGATGATTAATATAATAAGTTTTGTGTTTTAGGTATTATCAAGCAATCTTCACACAACGGACAGATGTGTTATGTATGGCGAGTGCGGTATAAATCCAGAAACCGGCTTACAATCGAACTGTGAATACAACGGCCCACCAAAATTGCTTACCGATCCAGCAGGTCTTTTACTCCTGCAAGACTTATGCCCAAAATTAGCGTCTGCCCGACCTTATACCTGCTGTGCTAAGGAACAACTGCAGACATTACTGATCAGCATTCGCTTCATTCAACAGGCCATGCAGCGATGCCCTGCTTGTGTAGAAAACTTTGTTAGCATGTACTGTGATATGACGTGCAATCCGAACCAATCACTGTATATGAACGTTACAAGATCATACAATGTGTCCGGCTACGCCACATCAACTGTTGCCGAACTATACTATTTCATGACGCGCGAGTATGCAGACGGTACATTCGATTCTTGCAAGAACGTCCAATTTCCAAGCGCGAACATCAGGGTGATCGATTTAATGTGCGATGGTGTGCCTGCTGACCAATGCACACCAGAAATATGGCTAGGGTACCTTGGAACCATTGACAACGGCTATGCTCCGTTCCAGATTACGTATAGAATCGACGATGTTACTGAGGAAGAGGCTAGTAAAGGTATCGAGCCTTTGGACGAGTATACTTATTCTTGCAAGGAGCCGGTTGGCAACTCTACTGCCTGCAGTTGTCAGGATTGTCCAATAGTTTGCTCCGTCAAGAACCCCACAATTGCGCCAACACCAGAACCATGGGAGGTTGGTGAAATCTCGGGATTCACCTTCACAGTAATAATGTTTTGTATTATTCTGTCTTCATTGTTTATTGTATTTTTTATAATGCACGAGCGTTTTAAACTTAAAGAACAAAACGCCATTGATGATAATCCGGAATATAATACATTTAAAACAGAAAAGATATCACCTATATTGACAGAAAATGACATAAACATGTTTGAGAAAGGTGGTAAAAAGGTCGACGACGTTCTGAAACGTGTGTTCACATCTCTGGGCGTATGGTGTGCACGACATCCGTACATTGTTATTTTCTTATCCATCGTGTTCATCGTAGCCTGCTCTTGTGGAAACTTAATGCTTGCTATAACCACCGATCCAGTCGAACTTTGGTCTGCTCCTGACAGTCAGTCCCGATGGGAGAAGGACTATTATGACCAGGCTTTTATGCCATTCTACAGGACGGAGCAGCTGATCATTACGGCTCCTAACAGAACTTCCACCATCCATGAAACTTGGAATGAAGGTCCCGTAGAGTTTGGACCAGTGATGGATAAAGATATCTTAGAGCAGGTAAGACAAAGTTTATTTATTTGAAGCATTTTAAAGAAACCTTTAAAGAGAAAATAAAAAACTACTGAGAAAACAAAAAAAAAACTTTAACGAAGCTGAAAGCTATTAAACTTTAATAATAATAATGGAAGGTTTGAATGGCGAGTATTAATTTTAAAAAATCATAAAACCTCCGGTACATCATTTTACACGTTGTGTACCGGAAGTGATTTTGTTAAACTTTAATACTCACATGCACACAAATCTCCATCAATGATATAATGCCTAGGCTTGTTTCATCTTTTTGTTTTTCTAATTTTAATCTTTGTTGTTCTAGTTTGATGTTGTCTTTTTTGTCGTTTTTGTTTTTGCGTGACATTGGATTAAAGAGCGAATAGAGACATTGTACTTTTGCGCTATAGAAATGGAAGATCATTCTGTTATCACTAAGTTGTAATAAACAACAACATGAAGAAAATACTAAGATGTAGGCAAAATACATTCAGTACTAAATAGGAGTTTAAAAAGTAATTGTCTGATCGTGTTTTATGCAATTGTTGAATTGAAAACACCCCCACCTCTGGCCGGCGTCCAACAAACCGAGTCAGCTAGGCCTATAGCCATCAAGATACTTTTAATTTTTAGAACACACAATAACAAACATAGCAAACAGAAAAGAATTCACGTACCAGAGTACAATGATACATTCAGATCTTCGTTTTAAATAATTCATCAAGAGCTTCACACTCTAATACGAAGTTCTGAGTTCTTTTTCATATAAGGTGATAATTTCAATGGGTTTCAATGGCTTATTTAATTTATTTTAGAGTAAGCGAAGCCAAGCCGGTAGTTTAAATTTTAAAATCTCTATTAAAATCGGTTTCATTCTATTTTTCTTGTAGATACTAGAGCTACAAGAATATATCACTTATATGAAAGTACCGTTCACGTATAAAGGCGTTACAAAGGACATCAGTCTCAGCGATATTTGCTTCAAACCCGTCAATGACAAATGCACCATTACCAGTTCTTTGCAATATTGGCAGAACGATCTGGGACGCCTTAACCAGGAAACCGTTGGTACAAACGGAAGGGTTGCGGACTATCACGATCACTTTTTGTACTGTATGAGGTAAATATTACTTTTCTGGCCATTAAAAGTAAACTATGCGTATTTTATTAATACAATTGTCGTAAATATTATCAAAATAGTCATTATTATCCTTAAGAAATAGTATATTTATTTGTATATTAGTCTATAGTTTTATTTTATTTAATTTTCTTATGCACTCGCCTTTATATGGAATGATCATTAGTAGCATCATCATCATTATCATCACCAATACCATCATCATCATCCATTATCACTAACCTTTTTTTGGACACAACCAATGCTTATTATCAGTAAGAAATATTATATTTATTTGTATATTAGTCTTTAGTTTTATTTTATTCAATTTTCTTATGCACTCGTCTTTATATAGAATTATCACTTGCAGCATCAATATCATCATTATCATCACCAACATCATCATCATCATCCATTTATCACTAACATTTTTTGGACAAGACCAATGCTTATTATCATTAAGAAATATTATATTTATTTGTGTATTATGTCTTTAGTTTTATTTTATTTAATTTCCCTATGCACTCGCCTTTATATAGAATGATCATCAACAGCATCAATATCATCATTAGGGCCTATCATCACCAATATAATCATCATCATCCATTTATCACTAACCATGAATCGGAATAACAGAGTTAATGTAATTGTCTATTAATAAGGAGGGCAACTCCCACTGTATATGCAATGCTTCTTTGATTTCCATTGATAAGAGGTATTAGCAGAACATACAATTTCGAAGCAACCCTCGTTGCAAATGTCCTTACATTTATGGGAATTATTTAAGTGTTTAAAATTATTCGAAGTTTCCGTTTATAAATGTTAGTTAAGGCGTATTTTAAAATGGCGACTAGTTTCACCGATATAAGAAGCGTTACAGCTTCCTCAAGTAAATTTGTATATTACGCCCGAACGAACATCACCCATGACAGTATTTACCTGACAGGTTCACAACCAGCCCGAATACATGGTCTTCCCAAAATGCATAAGCACAGAGAACCTGGTACTGCACCGCCATTCAGACCAACTGTGTCCACAATTGGTATCTATGATTATGATCTAGCAAAGTTTCTTTACAATATCCTACAGCCTATTTTACCACTTGGTTATTTTGTCAGACACTTTTTCTTTTGTTAATGAAGTAAGAAATGTACATTTTTGCAATAAGGTTATGGTTTCTTATATTGTTGAAAGTTTATTTACTAATATAGGCCTACCTCTTAACGAATCTGATTGATTTCGCTGTAAATTAGATTCTGGATAATAATTCACTTAATATAAGTAAGTAGAATCTTAAGAAACTGTTTTTATTCCACTTATTCCCAAACGCAATTTATGTTTTAAGACTCATTTTATTATCAAATTGATGGGGTAGCTATGGGGTCACCGCTCGCTCCTGTGCTTGCTAATCTTTTCATGGGGCACCATGAAAAGAATTGGCTCAACCAGTTCAAGGATTGTGAAGTATTGTTTTATTTCATGCAGAACATGATGCATACTTATTTTTCAATTATCTAAAGTCAAGTCAAAAACATTAACTTCACTATGGAAAAGGAAGGTCAAGATTCCCTTCCTTGACTTACTCATTTCAAAACCTGAAAATAATAACTTTCTTCCATACAGTTGCACTTTTTGTACCAATTTTCATAATAAAACAGTTAGGTTTAGCCTAAATGGTATCACTGAAATCCGTTGTGATTTTATTCATATCAATTATCTATGATTTGAATATTTGTCTCTAATTGTTTCTGGTAAAAATTGATCGTTTCCAGTCATTATGACCATAAATATTGTTTTTTGTGTATTATTATATAATAAAAATGACTATGCAACTTACTCATTACTATTACGTTTTCATCTTCAGAGCCCCCCTTTCGGTGGTAGACACTACACCGTTGGCATTACCTTGTTTAAGCGAATTTGGTGGACCATCGTTACCTTACGTGATTGTCGGTGGATTTAATGGTGAGATCTTGATTTAAGGTCACTTATGGTCACTTAGTTGCTATCAAAAATGTCATAGTAGCCATAATGCTAAATTGATATAGAATACGGTACATTGGGCATTGCAGTTATAGTAGATAGTAATAGTGAGGCTTTGTCGGGTTCAAACAGTATTGGTTTTGTCCGTGTCTGACACGTTTACCATTATCCATTTAATGTTTAGTCTTATATTCGTTGAATACAGCAATATATTCGAAACGTCGAGATATCCTCAACACTAACAAATTCTGGTGTATAGAAAATTTTTACTACCGTACTGTCTATTCGTTGCACAAAACTTCAGGCATATTATACTATTGTATTATAATTAAAATGGAAATTAAATACGGTAATAATAATAATAATAATAATAATAATAATAATAATAATAATAATAATAATAGATCTAATAATAATAATAATAGTAATATAAGTAAAGTTGGAATTACATTATATAAATTAGATAATTTACATTTATACACTTTCATTTCCAGTTAATAAGTTAAGTCATTTCCTAATGAATTTACACATTTCCGAATAAATTATATAATTTACGCATCCGCATGATCAAGTGTCATATTCGTTCGATACGATTTCGACCATCACTTGCCGAGTAAAATAAATCATGCGATCGTATGAGATTGCTAATGACATCTCGACATGCTAGAGCCCATAATCTATCGTACGACAAGGGCTAATGATAGTCCGTCTGACAAGTGGTCCATACAATTAGTATTCCTTATCTAGTGAATTAGATGATTAAAAAACGATTTAATGCCTAGTAGGCGTGTAAATCTAGGTCTCACTTTTATGCAATGGTAGTCTTAAAGATATACTGCCAGTCTAGACCTAAACGCTAAAATATATATTTGGGTTTTGTTACTTCGTATATATAAGGTAGCATTTATTGATAATTTAAAAAAATAAATAAATAAATTCACCAATTAACGGACGCATACGGAATACCGTTTATTCTTTGCATAGAAAATTAAATTAGCTGGTACTCTATATGGTAAATTTAAGGATTTCAGTAGGACTAGTAGAATGTCTTTAAATCAGAGAATCCTGGATACCTTGGACCTGCGCTTCCCTGGAAGTTAATAACTAATGAGCAATTCAATGTTGCATTAACTGTGTGGATTTTTTTATTTTACCATAGAGATAATGTACTATCACAACATTTAAACGAACTCTTTAACTAATTTCCATTGGCGCTGCAACTAGGCCAAAGTGTAGGATGAAGCTTATTGCTATTTTACAGGCCAATATAGGCCTACCATTTTATACTTAGTTTGGTACTATAAGTGTCTCAGGTTCGTTACCAATAACTGTTGTGATCTATGGATTTTTCCTTTCAAACAAATAACGTAATTCATTATGATTATGAATGCAACAATGAATCCTACCTCGTAACGAAAGGTAATTCCGAAACGTTAAATTCCACTTATGTTATATTTTTTAAATACAAAGCGACCACAATCGCTATAAAAGGCATATAAGGCAATACTAAATATTTACGAAATAAATAAATATATAATAAATACTGAATGATTTAAATCACAGTATCTAACGCAATTGGGACTGTATCTCGTTGTTTTGCGTTAAATGTTTCAAGAACGATTCAAATTTAAATACTGTATCAACCAATTGATCAAGAATGTATATGACCCGATACGATTACAATATCAGATCATTATTTGATAATGCCCTTTAACCTTAAATACTTCATTGAATGGATGGTGAGAATTATTAGGTACTCTTAGATAACACGTAGTCATAAATCGCACGTCAGCTTTTTCGAATTATTGTGAAATGAGGTTAATTAAAATTTTAAATGAATACGCCCAAAAAGAATCGATTTTCCGATAATTGTAATTCTTCCAATTCAAAACCAAGATTTTAATTCCTAGATCCGCCACTGGAACCATTTCAGATCCTCCTAAAATTCAATTGGAGTTTTAGGATGTGCACTTATTACAAACAGTGCACTTATTACAAACAATCAACCATCTAGTTGTTTCAAATGCGCATATACTTGCAGTCGATATTATGCCTCATAAATTAATAAACACAGACCTTCACAACTTAAACTACGAGACGAATTTCTTACAGTGACCAATGGTACCGAGGAATACAACACCGGGCAGGCTCACAGTCTTACGTTCGTGGTGTTGAACAAAAAAGACGAAGATGAACACTATCAAATGTCGTTAACATGGGAATCAGCTTACTTGGAATACATGAAGAATTATAAGAATGAAAATCTGACCATAGCATATTATGCAGAGGTAAATCATAGTAATGATATTATTACTTTTTAGAATAATATTTAATTATTTTTAACAAGGTCGCAAAAAGTGTCATTTCTACAAGAAGACATAATAATAAAGTAGCATACTTTAAGCCGAAAATAAAATTCCAAAACAGTTATAATCAACATATTCTTAATCAACATAGTTCTTAATTTACCTACTCTTGCGTATAGGCGTCAAAGAGCACATTTTATTAGAGATTTTCAAGATTTTAAATGGATTTGATAATGTTTTAGTTTGAATTAGATACAGATGACAGAACACGTGGGCATTCCTCCAAATTAAAGTTTAAATTTTCCCGAACAAATTGGATGAGAGACTCTTTCGGAAAGCCCCCCATTAAATATTCAAGAGTAATATTATTTTAAAATAGGGGCTTATAGGCATAGCCTAACCTCTATTCCGGACTTTGCAGATTTGCAGTGTTCCAGAAACAAGTAAACAAGTCATTGTCAACTAAACTGATCAATCAGGATGTGCTATTCAATTATCTTAAGAATATGCACATGTCCCAAAACAATGTTTGACTGTATGGACTACACTTGTAAAACCATTTAATTAATTTTAATTGTTAACTGAAATATTAAAATTATATCTTGATGTCGTCAATAGGCCTTAATTGCAAACTCTGATCAAATTTGACAGACTTCTTTTATTTAGCCCCTATATTCTGTTTTATGTGACCCCTCGATGTAGAAAGCTATATGATGACTTCATCCAGTCCTTCTTCATCTTTGCATCATATACCAAAAGGTTTTCCATAAAATTCATACTGATGTTTTGTATTTTTTCTACAGCGTTCAATTGAAGATGAAATTGTGCGATCTAGCCAAGCCGATGTCGTTACTATAGTTGTTAGTTATATTGTCATTTTCGCATACATCGCTCTCGCCCTTGGTGAATTTAGTCGGTGTGACAGAATTCTTGTAAGTATCGTAGTTCTAGTTATAAACCTATTTTTGCAAAGATACAAAATGCGGTTTTGTATTAGGTTAATTATGCAAAGTTATTCATTAGGTCATCTAAAACTAATAATTAAACAAATTTGGTTCATCATTTCTAAAACTAATTTAAATACATTGTTTAGTCAATCTTTCGCCACATTTCTGTGATATAATGCACTGCACGCATATCAACTCCATCAATGAACTTTAGTAGTGAAAATGTTTCTTCTCTTACACGTGTTATCCAAAATGCATCAGAATTAAAAGTAGATTCTTGGTTCTATTCCAGATTGACTCAAAAATAACACTAGGGTTAGGTGGTGTGCTTATGATTCTTATGTGTGTGTTCGCTTCAACTGGTATATATGGCTATTTCGGAGTCGCGACTACGTTGATCATTATTGAGGTTGTACCGTTTCTTATCCTGGCCATCGGAGCAGACAACATGTTTATCCTCGTTTTAGATTTCCAGGTAAAATCACAATGTTATACCGTATAGATGTGTTTTTTTTTTACCCAGTTACCAGTAGCAGATTCTTACTGGCACAAAGTCTTACAGATCAGGGTGGTCACTGGACCTACTGCCTGTCAGTTGTTGTCTATTATATTTCAGGGATCCCACCTGGATGCTAAATAGAAGAAGGCCAAGGAAAAAACAAACACATATTTTCCTAGATAACATTTAAATAACACCTAATTGAGATACGTATTAAGTATAATATGTAAAATTGATTTATTTTAAAGAGGAGTAAGAGGGGAGAGAAGGAGTCTTTAGAAGAGCATATTGGAAGAGTACTTGGTGAAGTAGGACCCAGTATGCTAATGTGTGGCCTATCTGAATCGATCGCCTTCTTCCTCGGTAAGTTAATGGAATCATAAAACCATCCTCAAAAAATGTTTCATTTGATCATCTTTATAATGTGATAGGTTATTGCGAATTCGGTAGATAAATTTTTATTCAAACATAGTAAAGTAAAATATATACTAATAAATTTATTTGTATTTGTCCAACAGGAGCGTTAACGGAAATGCCCGCTGTTCGAACATTTGCCTTGTATGCTGGAATGGCCGTCCTCATCGACTTTGCGCTGCAAGTCACAGCATTTGTTGCTCTTCTCACTTTAGATTGCAGGCGCCAAGAAGTATGTTAAAAAAATCTACTATATTCTACTTTAACCTCTTATGAATAATAGTATCGATTGGTCAAATGTTTATACTTACCGACCTTCTCAACTGAATGTATGACTGACTGGCATGGTTGTTCCCTAAAGAAAGTTAATGTCGACAAAATCGTTTCGCAACTACAGTAAAGATAGTGAGAATAATGGTAGTGTATCAAGGTTAATTGTGGTTCCTAATGTGATTTTTGATCAATTAAAAAAAAAAGCTAGACCAATGGTAGACTTTAACACATTTTTAGCTTGCCTAATGTTACCTTTCTATGTGAATGTTATAGAGTAATCGATATGATATTTGCTGCTTTATCCGGGATAAGAAAAATGAACCACCAAAGAGAGAACTTGGTTTCCTGCAACAATTCATGGCATCGCATTACGCTCCGTTTATTGTTAAGAAATGGGTTCGACTTGTTGTTGTAAGTTTATATATTTTTTTCTTTACTGCCGTTAAGAGAAATTGTATCACATATTTTCAAGCATCTTATATCGTTCAAAAAATATTCTCAACTAAAATAGTAAAATTGTGTACTTTTTTACAGATGATATTTTTCTTAACATTTACTTGTGTTTGTCTGGTGTTTATGGCAAAACTTCCTGTCGGTCTAGATCAAGATATAGCTATGCCAAAGGTTAGCATTTAATAATAAAATGAATCAAAGTATCTTACTATTAACGGGTTAGCATCGTCAGCCATTATACTTTAACATGTGACGTAGATCTGCCAAATCCTCGTTTTTCCCCATTTTCTTCTCAAATTATACTGAGAGTCATATTTATTTCGCTTTACAATAAAGGATATAATTTGCAGATAAAAGTAAAAAGAAATAAAAACATATGATGTGATGATTAAAGAGTAGCACATGAAAGTTTTCTTTTGAAATGAAATTTATTTCCAATAGTTTCCTACATTAAATACATTGGCGAACATAGATTTGATAAGTGACAAAACGGTAAATATCTAGAAAATATTAAACACTCAAAACATTAAAGTGTAATATCGAAAAATATAGCGTGGACCAGAGATACATTTAAAACACACTACTAAAAGTAGTTACATAATTATCTCACGACTCAAACTAAAATCTTATTATCTTCATTATTGTTTTGGGTTTTATCTGCAGGATTCATACGTAATTGACTATTTCAATGGACTCGCGAAGTACCTAAGTGTTGGTCCCCCAGTGTACTTTGTTACGACTGATGGATACAATTACACCTCGACAAAAGGCCAGAATAAGGTTTGCGGAGGCTCTGGCTGTGATGAAGATTCTCTTACTCAACAAATATATTTTGCTTCTAAAATCAAAGAACAGTAAGTAATGCAATTGCGGTATTGTACATTCGGTACAACTAGTAAATGGAAACAACTTGAAGGGTAAAATACAAATATAATATCAAATGAAATATGCTTGTAAATCCAAAAAAGCAAAACGTACCACTTCTCTAATCCCACCCTTTGTACTTTCCCTCCATTCTTTTTCGACTATAATCATCATTTTAAAAAATGTGCATTCAAATTGTGTAACATATTGACTGATAATGCCTGTCAATTCTCGACCACATTAATCGTGCAAACATTTTCTAATCTGTAGTAATGATTCATTTATATTTTATTTCTTCAAAGCACAACGATCGCTTATCCCGCAGCATCATGGATTGATGACTACCTGGATTGGATAACGCCTAACATCGGTCAAAGTTCTTGCTGTAGAACGTATACTGATAACTTTTTGAACCCTTACCGCGATAAAGCCGGCGAGTTTTGTTCGGCATCAGGTAAGAATAATACGGTAAAATCCCTCTAACATTCAGTTACCTTTACACAATTCAATTACTCATATATTAAAAGATAACTATCTAACACAGATAGAAACAATTTCTGCAAAATAAATGTAGAATTATAAGGATATTTTGCTTCTTTTAGTTTCAAAGGAAATAATTTGTCCTTCTAACCTTTAAAAATCTAAATACGACTTCATAAACTGTTGTGCACATCCGCACACACCTCTTACCGATGTCATTTAATTCCGCAAAGATCAACATTAGTGCAGATCCCCATGAGGGGATAAACTCATAAGATTTCTCATTGTCTGAGGTTTGACATCTATTCCATTTAGTTTGTGATACATAATGTTTGATTGTTCATCAGTAGGCCTAATTAAATTAATTATTTGCTATATTAATCAAGTATTTTTCAAAACCGTTGTCTTAATATTCATTTGGTGCGCTGTCGCCTTCAACATACCACGCTGCTTATAATTAATATTAATATTTTCGTTATTTTGTTATATTGTTTATAACATGTGCTGATTTATTTCAGTTGAAGAAACTTTTCCTGTCTGTAGTAGTTGTTTACCTTTGACGTCACGAGGTGAACGACCCCAAAATGATGAATTCATGGAATTCCTTCCATTTTTCTTACAAGACATTCCCACCGATATTTGCAGTAAAGGGTTAGTTTTCAAGTCTGAATAATAATTATCATAACTAATTGTCTTCTACTTTCAAAAATGTATATTATGGAAACAATAGAAATTGGAAGTTCAAAGATATAAAATTTCACATTTAGATCAAATAAGCTGTTACCAATCCCAACGAGACATGGAATGAAGCGTTCAGTTTTTTTTTTTCTTTTTCAATTTTATTACGAAGATAAATAAACGATAACCAGTCAGTTTAAAGTTTTATGCATGTCTGTTGGAAAAGTGGTCCTATTTTATAAATCGATTACTGTACTTGACGAGAAAACAGTTTTCTCGTTCTTGTAACTGAAAAAAAAATAATTATATAATGTAAACTACTCAAGTATTAAATAAAACTAAACATAGAGATTAGGCTACATTTAATGTTAGTGTCCCCAATTTTTCATATCAGTTCACTGTAGTATATAATCGCAATATTGTTTCAATGATTATAATTAATTTTCACTATTTATTTTTTTTCCAAACACTCGTTTTCCTTCAGAGGGCGCGCCGCATACGGCGATGCAGTCGATATTGTGAACAACACGGGTGAGAATGAAATTCGAGGTAAGTATCCAGCATTCAAATTGATATTGTACGTCCTGCTCTCTACTTCTGTGGAAACTGTATTGGACTTCAAACAAAAGAACATATAGTATATACATTATTTAATCAGTGGAGTCGTTTAGTGGTTAAGATGCTCGATTTTTTAATCCCAGTGTCCTGGATCAAATTCCTGTCACAGCATTACTTTTTCTCACGACCGAAAACAATTCCACTCCCTAAACCTCATAAAAAGACTTGCTTTATAAAGCACCATCCCATCCTGTGAGTGGCGAGTGTACTTGCTGTTAGATGTGAAGGAGATTAAAAGAAATGTATGTATGTATGCATGCATATATATATATATATATATGCTGTGTATATATATTGCCTTGGTTTGGTTCTGTAATCATTAGTGGTCGTGGGACTAGTTTGGGCCAAAATTAATGTCATACGTTTGTGTATCTTCAGCAACATACTTTATGACCTACCACACAATCTTGAAAACCTCACAAGAGTTTACGAATGGTCTACGTCAAGCGAGGGCGCTATGTGAGTCCATCGAGAAGTCGATGAGAGAGGATCTTGAACTCGGACCGGACTTCAAAGTGTTCGCGTACAGGTATTCATTTTTTTAAATTATATACTGTGTGTACCTAATAAACTTGAACTACAAAATTAAATATTCAATTTGATGTGATACCTTGTTTATTTAATTACGTTTTTAGCTTTAAAAATTATAACGAGAAAAAAAATCTTGCTAATTAACAAACGAGACATATAAACAATATCATTTTTTCTTAGCAGATAGCTACAGATTATTTTATGTCCGTCAGCAAAAACTGAATTGCTACCACCTGTGACTCATTGAAAATTGGTAGTTCATTTGATCAATTAAATGTGAACAATGGGATTTTTTAGACTAAATTTTGAAAGTTTCCAGATTTTTACACAAAATTTGTAAACGAAAACCGAGTAGTTAACGTCAAATGCGATTAACATATGATAGGTTTTTAGAAAATTTCAAGCAAATAATAAGTTTCTTCAGTGAATTATACTAAATGAGTAATTCCATAATCTTATAATGTCAAATACGTCAACATATTAAAACCTTTCGACTTTTTCTTTCAGTCTGTTCTATGTGTATTATGAGCAGTACCTTGATATGGTAGAGATCGCTGTTTTCAACATTTGTATTTCTCTAGTGCCAATCTTCCTGGTTAGTTTTCTAATGCTGGGATTTGACGTAATATCCGCCCTCATCATCATTATCAATATCTTGATGATCGTCTTCGACACGCTTGGTATTATGTATTTCTGGAACATCGACTTCAACGCTATCTCATTAGTCAACTTAACTATGGTAAGAAATATAAATAATAATGGGCACAATTATTTTTCTTGCTGTTGATGATTTCATTGTTGCTGTTGTTGTTTTTCTTGCTGTTTTGTTGCTCCTGCTGTTGTCGTTGCTTCTGCTGTTGCTGGTGTTGTTGTTGTTGCTGCTGCTGTAGGTACTCCTGTTAATACTGTTGCTATAACTGCTGCTACTACTGCTGTTGCTGTTACGGCTGAATTGCTGCAGCTGTTCATACAGTAATGTTATTGCTACTGTTCAGCGGATTTGTACCGGTTATGTTAATGGGAATTGTGATACTGATGACGATGATGTTGATAACGATAATGACAAAAGCTTCGGAAACGTCAATGAAAACTATAATTTTAACGGTAAAGATAATGATAATTCAACTTGTGTTAAAACTTCTCTTCTCTTCGTTTTTCAAAGGCCGTTGGTATTTCGGTGGAATTTATTTCACACATTGTAAGAAAATTCAGAACCTGTACTTTACCAACAAGAAAAAAGCGAGCCCAGGAGGCATTAGCAACTACTGGAAGTTCTGTAAGTGAAATAGGAAATATTAGTTATGGTATTAGGTCAGTGCATGATGTTTAAAACATGCTAAAACTAAATGAAATTTTATTGGAGACGGTACATCATTTAAAAATACACTATACATATACTGTACCAACTTCAAAATAATCTTACATTATCTCTTTCTATAGGTTCTTAGTGGTGTGGCTATGACAAATTTACCAGGGATCGTTGTTTTAGCATTCGCAAAATCTCAACTTTTCAATATATATTACTTCCGAATGTTCTTTACAATAACTATTGTCGGAACATTCCATGGTCTTGTCTTTCTTCCCGTATTACTAAGTTATATAGGTAAGTACGGTATCTGTGCAAATGCATTTTATCAATAAGTACCATTGGACCCCTCTGGGAATAAATCATGTGTATTTAGAGGGTTATCCCATATAATACCTTTTTCCTCTGTGCCTCTTGTTTTTCAAAACCAATCAAATTGGTTTGCCAATTTAATTTTATATTATTATATACTATTGTTACTAATAGTTTTATTTGTCATGATTATGTCTAAGGTAAATGCATTAAATGTATCATTCGGCCTTTATCTCTTCTGTATTTCATAATTTAAAATTATTAACAATGTTACAATAGGCCTAAAAGGCTGCTATACCGTAAGTCAATCTCTCAGTGCGAATTTCTAAAATGCAGACGGTAGGCCAGGCCGATTCAGTGTTTGTTGGCCAGTCATGCGAAGTTGAAACAGAGGTTGTTTTTTTTATATAGATTCTGATGTCTTATTCGAATTCGAACCATGATAAATAATCAACAAAAAAATGTTTGTATAATTGTAGGACCTCCAATCAATAAAGCAAAACTTTTTGAAGAGCAACAGGAAAAACAGAAACAGAAAAAGGTTGACTGCAAAGTGGACGTAATTTCCGGCCATGACAATCCAGTAATGACTTCTGACGAAGCTACCACGATGACAACAGACAGTCCATATGAAGAAATTGGTGTTCACAAGAAAGAACATAACATCGCTTTGGATAATGATGATATAACGAAGTTTTAATAAATTTACACTGTATAGTTTTTCTGTTACAAGCCAAAATGTTAGAAGAAGAAATGTCGCCAGTATAATTATTATTATTATTATTATTAAAGTTAGCCATCTTTCTTTGAAAGACAATTGACCAGATAGACGCCGCTGTCTTACTGATTAGTAGTCACCGAACGAAACAAACACAGCAAGGCAAAGCATGATGTGTAGCTTCGAGAGGGAGGAATCATCAACTGAGTTCGGGACAGGGCTACTTTCACAAGCGAATGTATGCAGACAAATCACCGGCTAGCTCGATGTAGCAGTACATGTGATGTATGCGAGCCACTTTACTATCCAAAACATTAATAATTTGTTAGCATTTTTTGTAAGGCTTGAAATCTAAAACCCTCACAATGGTCTTGATTTTGAATACCGGTCGAGACAGTACATTTTTTCTTTAAAAATGTATTATCATCTTTAATGAGATGTTTATAATAGAATTATTTTAATATTTATCTTAGTCAACATTTTTATCTTTATAACAACTGCTTAAAACTAAGCTAAATATGTTAGTATTCTCAAATTAATTAATTTTCTTTAGAAACTTTGTATTATATGATGGCTGTGATTGGTCAGTCAGTACCACATGAAACGTTATATAAAATTGTTAACGTACCTGTATACAACAATCTGTGTATACCATTCATAATATCGACTACAGTATTTCGCTAAGCTCCGCCCCTTGGATGAAATTTGCTAAAGGTCCCATAAAACGACAAGTTTGTCTCTGCTTTGATTGGTCAGTTGGCAAATTCGATGACATTCCGGAAATGTTCATTATTTACTAGGTTGAATAAATAACTTTATTGTCTGTGTGTGTGTTTTGAACACACAATTGCCTCTTTTTACTAAGTTACCTCAAATGTTCGTCACAAAATCAAATGGAGACTAGAACCCATGATGTGTGTACGGATGGTTCATTGTGATATGATGCTTTTATTTTTGGCGGGCTAGTATTTACATTTGTACGGCGACGATTTATACAAACTATCAGTCTGTTGTTTTAGCAACCCTATTCAAAATGTAAACACATATATACCTTCTATAAATATGTTATAATGTTGTTTAGTTTTATATGTACAGGCCTATGTTTAGCCTGGGTTCCAGGCCTTTTTGCGTTACTCACTCTTTATTGCACTTAGTGCACGCCATACCTAATTTAATTGGCGTCCCATACTCGATTTTTTTTCGGATTTGGTCTCCAAATTAACTTTCTCGTTGGTGGCGCTGTCCAGAATGAGAAAAATAATAAAAATAAAGAGGGTTGTGCGTGTAGCCTATGATGTATTATAGGCCTAGTATGGTTTTCCCATTCGACGAGGATAAAAGGCATTATAATCTGCTGAATTCGGTTGACCCACTTGAACAGGGAGGTATAAAATACCTCCCTGCTTGAAGTTTGAAACAAAAAGTTGTTTTAATGATATTCATTTTTAAGATTTGAGTAGGCCTATGTATAACCGTCCAGTTATCTAAATAACAATATGTAGGCCTAAGGCAGTATTATACGGTAGAAAATTATATAATTGCACACGATTTTATTGATAATATTAATAAGGACACTCTTAACACCGGCTCGACTACCGGTTTAACAATTTGTAAATATAAATGCGCGTGATATTTTACTTTGAAAATATCAAAACATTACCGGGTAATTACGCTATTTTGTCCGTAGAGGCCAGTACAATACAAATGTATACCGTCTAAAAAATATAGATTATTTTGTACTTTAAAAAAGAGAAAATATCGTTCTCAACAGTTATCAGAAGCATAATGCTATGACAGTGTTCCAGTATTTTGCTTTTTAGTGAATCAGGGATTTGTTACAACTCCTCTCTAATAGCTTAAAACATTTTTACCGGATAGTAAAAAAATCATGAATTGTGTATAAAACGTTTGTAGATCAGTGATACCATTTACGTCTTTTGGGAGTTATCAGTGAAACCATTTATGTCTTTTGGAAGTTGATGAATTACTTGCTAATATTTAAATATATCTTTGATTATTTATGGTTTTATTTAAGATTTTATCATAGAGATTATGGACTTGGCCTACAACAGCCTATCAACTGTTGGCCTGAAGTAGATTGTAAACGTTTTGCTGACGAATTGATAACTTCGTATGAATTAAGACAAATAGCCCAGTGTGTCGGCGATGAAAATAGTTTTACTCGCTGCACCCCTTAGGCTTGTATGATAATACAATGTATAGGTATCCTGATTTGCCACTGGTAGTGAGATAGATAGAATTTTTAGCTCTCATTGTGCACAAATACATTTTATACTTGATTTATGATTGATAAAAATATTTGAAATAACATCATTGACTTACAGTTTTAGTTTGTTGTTACGTTTTTGTCTCTATAATAAGTTAATTGAAACATATCCCGGATCTTGAATAGATGATTGAATGAATGAACGAACGAACGAATGAATTACTGTACAGTAATTAATAATTAATTAATGAACGGACGGATGAATGGACTAACGAACCAGCGAGCGAACAAACGACGAACGAATGAATGAATGAGTCAGGTAATGAAAAAGGGATTTTTTGTTTGTTTGTTTGTTTGTTTTTTGTTTTTTTGTTTTATTTTTGTTTGGTTTTGTTTTTTGTTTTTTGTTTCTCTGATTTTTTTTTTTAGATTTTTTTTTTAAAAATAATAAACTCAAGTATGCAGAAGGTAGTACCGTACTACAATAGAACCCCTATTAAGGGGACACCTTCAGGACCAGAAAAGTGTTCCCTTAAAAAGTGTGTCCCTTAAATAGGGGTACCCCTATTCAGGGGACGATATCCAAAAACATTAAATTGTCCACTTAATAGAAGTTTTTAGTGGCATATTTTCGTACAATGATGACATAAACATTCGTACAATGATGACATGTCCTGTATAACTAGGCATATAGGCCTATCAATATCCATTTTATCTAAAAATTGATTGATACTTTACTTGATAGCAGATAGTTAGGCCCTCTTGTCCGGTGGAAGGGCCCTCAACTTCTCTTTAAAGATAATTACTCTTGGTGTAGAAACAACTTCTTCTGGAAGTTGGTTCCATTGGTCTATAACTATGTTACTCTGTTCACATCTTCTCTTATATACCTTTTTTAGAATGACCCCAGGCCTTTTTTGGGGGAACTTCTGAAAAGAGCCGTACACTTGTAATAATGTGTTAAATGCTTATAGGTCTCGATTAAATCGGTCTCTTTTCTTCTTTCTACCAAGGAAACTGTCCTGTGTCTGTGGTACGGCGGAGTGGAGTTGATTGTGTTGAGCAATCGGGTGTTACTATCGATATACCACCTAATTATTGGTTAATTACCTTAATTAGAAACAGTAATTATGGAATAATAAATAACTTACAGGCCTACTATATGAAAGTCAAATCATCAAAGAACTTCAACATGTTAGTGGAAAATAATAATAGTAAAGTAAGATTAAGAGATTTGCCATAATTGGTTTCATTGGCTTGACCACATATTGAAAATTTGACAGCAATTGAAAATTTTAGTATGAAAAATTTGTTGACAGTTAATTTAACATTAAATTTATCAACTTGTATTATTTGAACTTATTGGTAAGAAAAATATTTTTTTTCCAATATTGAAAGCTAATAATACATAAATTATGAAGTGATGACCTTGTGATGACCTTTTCCATCTTTATTTCTTTTAGTTTGGTGCTGAGTTCAGGCGTTTCTCAGTAGACACAAACACAATGTCAACGTTTGAGAATTTTTATAACCACATACAGAAAATGCACAAACTTGATGATATAGAATTCCTTGTCAGCTACACAGACCCCCAAGATGATCTCCTTCCTATCAACAATGACGACAACTACCATAAAGCGTTGACTAATTTTAAACCACCGCTACGGATAGTGGTTCAAAGAAGAGGTAAGTCCTAAAATATGTCATTCAAAATCATCATTTACAGTAAACATCACAGAATATAGGAGCATTTTCAATTCCAAGGTCATGGGCCTGTGTACTCATTTACTGTAGGCCTACTCATCTCTTTCAGATACTGGAGCTACGATTATATTCCCACTTTCCAGCACTATTTCTATGCTTCAGTCCAATTTTTATTTTCTGTTTTAATTCATTAAACATTTATTCATTACGTAATGGTCAAAGAAAATAAACAGTAATACATTAAGATAATACATAATCAAATAAACTTATTGTTAATTTATGTACTAATTAGATATAATAACAACAAAACCATTACTGGGATCAAAATTAGAAGTTTTAGATGCTCATACTTCTTTTGTTACTTGGTGACTAGCACACGCACTCTTTAAGAACTACGGAACCTTCAAACCTTTGGTTTACTGTAGTATGCAGTGTATCATCGTACTACAGTAGCTAGTAGTCTTCTACTAGAGAACTACAATCGCGTGTACGTAAATGCGCTTACAATGTCCGTTCCACCCTTGTCATTTCATGAGTGCTGTATGTAGAGGCAAACAACACACGAACTGGCATCAATGACCAGCACTGACTTTCAACCGAGTTGACTTGCAAAATTGTTCCCAACCAAAGCTACTATGAACTTGCCTTCAGTTGAATCCAAAATGGCATGAAAAATTGTTTGACTTGCGGTAGATAAAGTTTGACTAAAGCCAAGCGCTCGATGTATCGTACGAAGAATCCAACTCCGCTTCCTGTGAGCGCTAGACAACGCCGTCTGCTGATTGTCTATGGCAATCAAAACGATTTATTGTGCGTGCGTCGTCGCGTTGTGTTCTTCATGGAGTCGTGTCGGCTGACAAACATCGGGTGGCTTTACAGAACATTACTGGAAAACACAGCAATTTGTCATGTAAAATACGATTGACCTAGAATTTATTTGAGTTATGCAAAGTTGACTTAAGTTTAACTGTACTCTGCTACTGTAATTAATATAGACTACTGTGAGAGCATTCTTTAAGATTACTGTATATGGGAAATGTAGCTTACTTTAATACTTCACTATTGGTTTATTCCTGACATGCCAGGATTTTTCCATAACTAATCCTTTCGTAGTCTGTCCGAGAATTCAAGGCTATTCTACAGTATACCGGTATGTTACACGGCATTAGTTGAACGATTCCAAATTATAATCTTCTAATCTATGAATTAATCTTTTTTTATTACTTTAAAAGCCAAGGGAACTTTTAACAGTTCTGAAAGTGGCTGTATTCTTACAAAACAAAAATTAATTCCAATTAATACTGTAATTGAAATGGAATATTTCAAATTAAAATTTGGTTATTATTAGGGAGCTTTTGCTATCTCGTTTGAGAAACAATCCACCAAGAAAAGTTCCCCTTCTTGTTACCGTTCTCGTTTAAAAATAGCTTTCGGTATCCCATTTTATGTTCCGCTGATAACCAAACTCTTGGTGGCACCACAGCGTGTTGCTACGGCCTTGGCATGTGCTTGGGCCATGGTGGCGCGATGTGCTGATGTATATAATGGTGTGGAATGGCTAAAACCTACAGTAGACTAGGACGAAATACTGTACATTGAAATTCGAGTGAATTTGCAATCAGTAAGTAGTGATGATCTTCCCAAGGTAGTACATTACTATTTAATCATTTAGTATAGAATATAACCAATTCCATTGAAATATTGCAAATACATTCAGTTTCTTATTCTTGATCCATTGCCTGGGATCCATCGAGAAAACTAAAACTAGGCCTAAGCTGGTGACGTCATACAAAAAAATATGCACTTTAAACGAGATAATAAAAGCTCTCTACAGTCTGCAATTAGGCCAAGTAAAAAAAAATTATTGGTTAGCATCCTTTTGGTATCAAATTTCATGGTAGGGAGGAAGGTTTTTTTTTTTTTTTTTTTTTTTTTTTCTCGTAGAACATGAATATCAAAATACAAGAATTTGTTTCCTCTCCCTCACTCCCTTTATTTTTGTGTACTTGACTGATCTGTAGGAAGATTGTAAGATATTTTGTGATGTACAGTCTATGTTTTTAAACATTAATGGTTACAGCTTGATAACACTTGCTCTGTTGCCTATCGTTGTACCGTTCTATAACTATGTTTTGTTAACACTGTGTCACTGTCAGTACTACAGTCTATGTTATTGCTTGTCACAATGCAATTTATTTCTAAATGGTTTCAGTTAAAGTGATAGTTCAAGACAAAATTTATCATAATAGTTTCCATAATAATGTGAGAAAAATATAATTTGACTCTATTTTTTGTAATTTATCTTGTCTGACTAATACAGTGATACTTAGCTTTGGCATAAGGACAAGGAAAATAAAGAAAGAGAAAATTCCAAAAACATACAGTGCCAAAACAATCCCACACACTAAAGTAAACAAACAGATACAGTAATTTAAAAATGCATAGCCTGTAAAACCTCTATTTCTACAGCCTACATACAGTCCTATATCTGTTTTGTGAATTCATTCATCACACTGCCAATAGAATAATGGTAATTTCAAAGAAATTTACAGTAATATCTCCCAGTTATGAATCCCCGATTTACAAACTCAATCCCCGATTTTACGAACCCAATTTGCAGCGATGACGTCATTACGAACGATCATTTTTAACTACAAAAACACTTGAAATTGTATTTAAAACTAAAAAGTCTACAAAAATAATAAAATGTTACATCATCGATGAAAGAAAAAATTCAAACCAATGAAGTGTCATAAAACTATAGTTTATAGTTAAGAAATATCAATCGTACTGTATTCAGCCGAGATATATTACATTTGAGCTGTTCACGCTTTTTCAGGCATACTGTACAGTACTGTAAATATCACTTGTTCATTGAGGGCGCTATTTGCATGGATTCGCGATCTTTATGAAGAGAATAATAACACTCTTTTTGGCCAATGGTCATGTTTTTATTTGGAAATCACTTCAAATGAATACTTCACAGTGAGCACCGGTAATTTTGGCTTCTGTAACGTATTATTTTGTTGCAGAAAACAGTAAAATTCAAATGATATTTTTTGACAAAATTTTTCTCCTATGCCAAGGCTTACATAAGCCTATCTACTGTTAGTCCTGTAACTTGTAGCATTAGGCTTAGGCCAACCCTCACCACACTGGGATGCTATGAAAAATTACGAACTTTGTCATTTACGAACTCTGTTCGGATGGAGGGGTACGTAATTGAGAGATGTCCTGTAATGTTTTTTTCCTGTTGAGTGCACACCCTGCAATGGAAAATGTACATTTTAAAAACAAGTATTTTTGTTTAATGATATTGTAAATTCAATTATTTTTAAAGAATCGTACAGTACAGTATGCATCAGCCATCAAGAGCTATTCACTGAAAATAACACCGGTACAGTAGTTAAATCTATAAATAACAACGACTTAGTACTTGACGTGTCATGGACGTCCCAAATTGTTTACTAATTATACCTCCATAGGAGTACGCATCAGATGGAAGAAGAATTTGTTTCAATAAGATTCTAAACTATGATTCACCTAATTAAGAACATTGATTGGTGTACTTAAGTAATGAACTAATTGAGTGTTTGTTGAGTAATTTAGTATAACCTACTGTAATGACAATTAGCTGTCAACAGCATATTTTCATTCTTTACTACAATCATCATTAAATCTCATAATTACTTCTTAGGTGGCATTGGAATGATGCCACTCAATTTGATGTACTGTACAGTACCTACTGACACTGTATGCATGAATCACCCAACTATTTAGAGTACTCATGTAATAGCCCACTCCCTATGTTTTTGTTAATTTTCGCGCAGTGTACTGTGCATTGCTCTACCTGTGTGTAAAGCAGCTCCCCTAAATTTAGCATTTTGAAATCAAGTGTACTTAATAAGTAAATCTAATAAAAACAATAATGTATAATTACAGATCTTTAAAAAGTAATACTCATTCACAGCCCCCATGTTGCTTACAGTAGGCCTCATCATTCTTTTATGCCTTTAAACAGATACATATACTGTACCTAAAAACACAACGTACAATCATGGAGGAATTAACTATTATGCAATTTTTCTTACATATTGCTGTACAAATCTATTTTGTTGAATTTTTGGCACCAATTAAGTGAAATTTATTAAAATTATACTGAATTGGCCAGGCTAAAAATATTAAGCTGCCAGTTTCAAATAAAAGGGGTTGATTGGTTGATTGATAACTTATAAATAAAATCTCTATATCTTTTATTCAGTTTTCAAAAATGCATGAAAATATTTAAAAATCCTTAGCAGCCAAATTGCTGAATTGATTTTTTATAGACCTATAATTTTCTAAATTAAAAAAATGTTTTTTTAAATTTGTTTTTGTAATCACAACCAGATTATTGAGAGACATTATCAGTGTGAAGCATTGGAATGTGAAATGTCATCACACTACTGTTAAATTTAACAGTTCACTTGATTGGCGGTACCTTGGACAAACACTGTTTTCAACAAGTGATATTAAAATCCACTGTTTAATAAATGAATTGTAGATTGGTGCCAATCAAAAATGTTATATATTTACACAATACAATATTGATGCCAACCTGTTTGACACGGAATCAAACTTGTGGCTACATACAATTTCATTCCACTGAAATAGGCAATAACAATGCAAAGTACTATATTCATCAACACATTATCTATGCATGACTGGTTTTGAAATACAAGTAACTATCAATGTATCCAATATTATTCTTTTAAAAATATGCTGTACAGTAATTTAGTATAGTTTCTTACAGTATACAATATGCCCATTCTATACACAAAATTGGGTATAAACTGTATTTTACATGAAGAATGTATGATTGATTAAAAGTATAAACGCAATACTGTAGCATTTCTTAACAATGTTAATAATAACATACCTTGTCGTAACCACCACCAATTGAAGAGTCAAGAGTAACATTGGTGTTCATGAATGAACACAAA